TAAATGGCGTGATGAATGCTCTTTTCTCTCTTGCATCATCATCCAGCAAAATTTGCCAGTATCCCTTAGTTAGATCTAATTTACTAAGATATGTTGTGGTATCTGATAAGGTTTCTGACAAACTGGTATCTCATTTGTAGTTACCACATGATGTTTCAAGAAATTAGTCCGACCTGGAACATTGGACAAAACTAAACTGAATTGCTCTAAACAAACTTGTAACCTCTTTGTTCTGGAGTTAGCGTTTGGAAAATTTAAACATCTTTTACCAGCAATATACACTGTACCTTCATCGCTTGCATACGGAGTTAATATATCTCATTTGATTCGATACGCAAGACCATGCTCTACGTATGAACAATTTCTAAAACCAGGTAAATTATTGACAACCAAGTTAATGAAACAAGAATTTCAGCTGTCTCGTTTAAAGTCATCATTTCGTTAGTTCTATGGTCGATACAATCACCTTGTCAGCAAATACAATTTATCATTGAGCCAAATGCTGACTGACGTTTTTCATACTTATTGTTAGTCCATTATTTACATACTCAATTGACGACGAATTTTCCGTTATTTCCTGAACATGACGAGTAACACACGGCGGGTGTGACCGGTCGACAGGGGATACTCACTCCTCCATGGCACCTGATCCCACCTCTGATGTTTCGCATGTTCGTGTTTTCTCTGCTCCTATTTTGTATTGTTGTATGGACTTTTGATCTTGAATACTGTTCGTCATCTCCATATCTTTCATATACATGTAACTGTAACATTCGCTACACCCCAAGAACATAAAGGACAAGAAGAAACATGGCATCCGGCTCCCTAATCTGATCACTCCGGTCATTTTTATACTCACGCTAAACATAACTCATGTACACCCGTGTACGGTAACCCACTGCCGTTAAAAACATAATCAACAAAAAATATACCAAAACTGAACACCCATGCATACACCCAACAATTAAACAAATGAATCAACTTTTTTACACCTGTTTGTTAAGTTTGATGATGTAATAGTGACACTTATCCAGGAATTTTGGCCAGGTTTGTCAGATTAGATCTGGACACCAAACTGTGTGGACGGTGTGAGATAATGACCTGTCCCGAGTGACTTGGGCGGCTTCCATGCTGTGTGGCAATGGGATGCATGACTGGTACCTGTGTGGAACATTTGAAACCTGGGTCCTTTTGTTTTTGCATTTGTAAGAGTGTAATGATTTCGGAATTTTTTAGTACTACCATGCGGAATTCTCGATTAGTCACTGCTGACATCACGTTACATTAACTGTGTATATATACCGAGACTGCGCAGTGGTCATGGGTAGATAGTTCGTTGGATGCAGACATGGATAGAAGACGAGTGTCATGAAATAAGCGAGTATTATATTCCTCGCCTGTTTTACAGCTAGAGAGTGAATTTGGAAGGCCAAGTCAGTTAAGGCCTGCCACAAGCTAGGATGTCCTCCAATATAGAGGATTGCCATAGTTTGTTGTGTCTCGTCTGCATTGGTTGACCAGTCCGTCCAGGCTGCTACACTCATTGTCCGTCCTGAATAAGGCATCTTACAATGAATGTAGTGGTTGAAGGGCTATCACATATACTGTCCATCCTGAATAAGGCATCCTACAGTATATGCGGTAGTCCGAGGGCGAATGGGCATCTTATTTAAGTGTTAGGTAAGGACTACCCATTTAATTGTTGATTGCCTCCGATTGTTATCGTGATTTATTGTTGATAGGACATATTTGTATATTTCGACAGTCCACTGGATTATACCAATTATTTCCAATCATTTAATGTTGAACACCACAAACCCTGGAAATGACCAGGTACGATCCCTTTGATTTATTGTTAATACGTTACAAAAGTGTGAGTGACTGCAACCCAGTGTTGGACTCAAGTTTTCCAACAACGATGCATAAAATCAAGTGTCATCTGTCCAATAAGTTTAGTCAATAGGTGCTCTACTGTATTCACTCAAGAATGTCGAAATACCCAGTATCCAACAGCATGGATGAATTCCCCATTTCAACCATTAGAACAACAGTTTTTTTCCCCTTCAAACAAAGTCTCAGAAAACCCAAAATGTTTCGCTCATCAATAATCATCACTGTTACAGTAACGTCTCATTTCATCAGTCATCTTTGGTCGGTTGGCACCAATGCCACTTTTGTAGAAGTACAGTGTTGCTCTGCTCGATTGTCACCTCTTTCTGCTCTCCCTGATTCCTGCATTTACGAGGAAATTGGTCTAAAATGCATAATATTGTTGGCCCCTGTAGCATTTAGGCCCAAGCCTATAGCAACAGTTGCTAGTATCAGACGGATTTTCGGTTAAGGTTTTCTGAGTTCCGTTATAATGCGAGTCTTCATCCTTGTTGTATTGTCCTTGTGAAACATGGCAGACATGCGATTTTCGGGTACCTGTTCCACTGGGTCATACGCATCTTCACCAACTGATAACAGTATGCAAGGAACTCAAGTCTATCCATATAGCATATGGTAACAGGGAATGTACTCTTTTAAACTTTTAAGTTCAATACTAAAAGGTTTTGTTAGGTCATCATACTTATCGTATTTCTATACATTTGGAAGTCTTGTTTATATCTCATAATAATAATTATTTGGTCTTTCAGCTGACTGAAACTTCTTTCGTCCATAATTCTTTTCATACCATCATTGGACCCATAACTGTTCTACTAAACAGGGGCTCAAATGGTTGAAACTTTGTTATTTTTTAAGGCACTTCTCTATATGCGAATAGAAGAGCAGGTAAGTATCTATCCCAATCCTTGGGTGTTTTAAAGCACATTTTACAAAACATAGATTTGAGACTTGAGTGTACGGTTAAATTTCTCAACTTAGCCATTGCATGAAGGGTCGGTCATAAGGTGTTGTTACCAGCTGGTCTTTTGGAAAGGTTCGTTGACATACATTGCATAAGGGACAATATCTTTTGACATCACCTTTAATTCCCGGCTAGTAGAAACTTGACGATATACGGTCTACTGTCTTCTTCGTCCCTAACTGTCCTTCCAAAATACTGTCTTGCGCGATGGTCACCACCATAGAGTTCCAGGAATAACATGTTATTTGAATATTTTGTTGTCATTGACCTTTGAAGACTAGAAATGTGTATGTAACAGTGCCTATTCCATAGAAAACAAGGAAACGATGTAATCACCAAAATGTTTCTTAACAGACTTTGCAAGATTTCTGTAGGTACTCAATGATTTATCAGCTGTCGTCTGTTATTCTTTCATTTTATTCTATATCCAGAGACGTAGCAACTGGGGGGGGGGCTTTTTTTGCCAACAATACACTTACTATTGAAAATGTTCATTGAAAGGCTGGTTGCCCCCCCCCCCCCACTTTATAATAAAGTAAAGTAATATGAAGGAAATATAGTATTGTAAGCTTAAGAATTGGATATCGAAAGGAATTGGTAATGAAAAAAGTTTGCCTCTAACCCACCCACCCCCCACGAAATAGGATTTTGGACTTTGGGCAATTTCTCCTTTTTTTTTTCTTTTTTTTTTTTTTTTTTTTTTTTTGCTTGTCAACTTTTTCAGGTAAGCAAAAAAAAAAAAAAATTTCAGTGGCTGCCCCCCCCTTTCAAAATCGGTGTTACGGTCCTGATATTGACATCAATATCTATCGAATCTATGACATTTACTTTGTTCATACCTTTCTTGCTCTTCTCTAACCTAACTTCTGGTTAGTCAGTAAGTCAAAGTGGTTTTCTCCATCTTCTCTTCTTTTACTTTTCCTATATTGAGATCAAATACGGATTCTTTCATGCCCAATGCATTTACCTTTCCTACATAAAATGGAGTATCAACATCAATAACTCATCCCTCTACCTGCCGAACATCAGAGGTGTTATCAGGTGTCATGGAGGAGTGACCATCCCCTGCTGACCGGGCACACCCGCCGTGTACTCCTTGTCATGATCAGGAAATAACAGAAAAGTCCGTCGTCAATTCAGCGTATGAATAATGGACAAACAATTGCTATGAAAAACGTCAGTCAGCATTTGACTCAATGATAAATTGTATTTGCTGACAAGGTCATTGTAATGACCATAGAACTTACGAAATGATGACTTTAAACGAAACAGATGAAGTTCTTTTGTTTTATCAACTTGTTTGTTAATAATTTACCTCGTCGTAAAAATTGTTAATACGTAGACTATTTAACGTGTTCGACCACAGTGTCCTAGTTAGCACAAATTATGCTATTTACAAGTTTATCTTATAAAAAAGATACGTGAGTTAGAGCTGTAGTAATTTTGTAACACAGAAAGGAAGATTCGTGATCAACTGGTTTACTTTTTGCTGATAATCTTTAATGTTTAACGAGACTGGAGTCTGATAGTTAGAGCAATAATATGCTGTAGAATTAAAACCTTCTGTTTATCTGTGCCTCTGTCCGTAACTGAACTTGCGTATATTAACACGATAGTGTATATTCAGATTAGAGCGGGGATATTACTAGTGAGCATTGGCTCACAGACTTCTTATAAGAGTAGTACACTTAGGGTCATGTCAAAACGTTTAATATATCTGCCATTTAAGGAAAGTGTAAATTATAATTATATAACTGAAATGATTAACGTATAGATGGCTTCGAATATTTTTTTCTCTTCTGTTACTTAATTTCGACTGATTGTATGTTATTCAACGTCTCTCTTGAGAATTTTTTCACTCATTTAGAGACGCACCACTTGCGGTGGAGAGCTGCAAATGTTGTCCTATACTCGGCATTCAGGTCCACTGAGCAGTGAGGGATCTTTTTCGTGCCAGCACATACTGCGACACGGGACCCCTCTTATTACGATCTCATCCGAAGGACCGGTTTCCACCTCCCACAGCAGAATTTCGATGAATGTTTTCAAATAAAGTAAAATGCAGAAAAAACAGTGAATTAGCAACTGTAAGAGAAGGAAACTTAAACAAGATTTATATACATTTTGAATACTATATAAACTATGCTGTACATTTATTTTTAAAGAGTAACAAACTGGACACACAGGAAATTTATAATTTAGCATGAAACCATAAAATTATTATATTTATAAAAGTAAAGCAAGTAAAAAAATTCCTATTAACCACATATGGCACTCATAAAGAATGAGAAATAAATTACAATCAAAACAATTAATGAGTACACTCTGTAATATTAATTCGGAGTTCACACAACCGCCATTAAATAAATTGACAATGTTTTATAAAATCAAGTTTCAAGCACAAGTTTCACAAACTTACACTTACATCCATTTTAATCACTTTCACTTACATTAAATCTATCATTGTTGATCGCATTGCAATGTTGTCTAGTTACTGTTCAAAAGTTAAATTTATTCACCAATACCACGGGCACTTGTTTGGGTAATAAATTTTTAACCCCGCACAGAGAACAAAATTTGAAAAAAAAAAATGAGTGGGTTTAAAAAAAAATTCTATTAATTCCTGTGTTTTAATATTTCTGTTAGTAAATAGAACTTGTTTACTTGTCTGATTTTCCCCGATAATATTAGAATTTTTATCTGATTTAATTTTAGGAATAGAGTTTCAGCCAGTCAAAATCTCTGCATATATCATTCCATGGTTGAATATCCACTTGGCGAGCAGAGTTTTGATGCTGCTTACAGAGACTAAAGAAAATAAAGACAGTCATGCCTTGTATAAAGTTGTGTAGATGACATAGGTATAAGCAATTTGTCACTGTATTTCCTCTGAGAGTGTAAATGACTGCGATTCTGGGGAGGGGGTACTCTGTGTAATTCGGAGTTAGATAACTTGTGTTATTTTAATACGTACTATACTGGTACGGGTTAAAATTTATTACCGAAACAAGCACTTGTGACCAATACCGAGGCAATCTAACTCACATGTAACGACAAAAAGAAAAGAAAACATGCTGCAACATTCAGCATACTGAAATCAAATCATGATCATTAGAATTGTTCTGGAAAGTTTCGGATAATATACAGAGGATTTTTATCTAATATTTTACAATTTACATGGATCATTTAGCTTTGATTGAACGTGGAATAAAATGTTAACATAATTCATGATTGAGTGGTTCAAATAAAACGAAAACCTGATTTATACATATATTCCAAGTAATATTATGATGTTTGCCGATTTCGATACATGTATAGTCGTCGCACCAAGCTTTTTCGTAGTTGTCTCTCCTAGGCCTTTGTGTGTAGCGGGAAGCGCTGCTTCTCCGGTCGTCCATGTTGAGATTAGTGTCACATGAAGTCTTGTTTATCCCATGGTAGCCTGTGAACACATATATGCCTTTTGAAAGAGTATTCATCCTCGTCATTACACCTACCCATATACTTTCAAGGTTGTCCACAAAGTTCTTGTACCTCAATGAAGCCATTTTACAGTATTATTAATATGTGAATTTTTTTTTAATAATGTTCATATTTTAGTTCATTTATAGTACTAGTCATAGTTAACAAGTATTTCCTACCGCAAACGACATTCATCAACAAATTGCATAGATGATAATCATTGAAAACGCCCACCAACTAATTTTCTTGTCTGAATTTGTGTCGCTCTTCACATTTCTGCCGTATGAAGTTTCAACTGTAAAATGAAATGAGAGGAAATTATCCGGAGAATTTCCAGATTTGGTGAGCATCATTTAAATCTTGAATATTTTTAGGCTCTTGTTTGGAACTATACTAAAGGGAGGTCGAAAGGGTTGGGCTTAAACCATCAAAATTGGAGCAATCTTCAGAAATCTTATATATCTTACTCGTGGAAATCAAACAATCGAAACTGTAAGCTTGATTGTACGGTACAATAAGTCCTCCCCCAAAATTGATAAATTCATGACTTATGGCGATGATGCTCCGAAAAATCCTTAGCACTGGTTCTCTGCCCTTGATTCCAGTCGCTTCCGCTAGGAATTACAAGGACAGGTAACCTCCGCCGCCATGACAGTGGAAAAACTCACTGCTTGCTTCGCGCATAGTACTGCGCATTCCAAAAATAAATAGCATCAGCTTGCAGAGAAGAATGTTAGGTGGATCCAGCGATTTAAATAACAGATAAAACAAAACGTAGCATATCTTTCTTGATGAATAGAGCAATTGAATACGGTGAAATTATTCAAACAACATAGTAAGGACTTTCTTAACTGAGTATATCATTAACTTACAATATAATGTCACAATGAACTTTCAAATGTTCCGTAGTGTTAACATTGTAATCCTCCTGGTGCATGTACCATAACATGCACATGGAGTTAGAGAAATGAGTTATAGCATAAATTCCCCGTAAACTTTAGAACATGAATAATGTTAAAGAACAAGTGTTATAACTAAATCGATGATTTAATTATCATATCAGTGGTAAATATGTAGGAAAATTAATCATGCAATAGATCTTGATTTGGTAGCTAGGATATGCATATGGGACCTGTGATATCGCTTTACATTTAATGGTTTTTGAGGCAGCACTTCTTTATGGTTTTTATAGATGCTTTAAAATCCGTCTACTTTCTTTGTTAACAGCAGTGTAGCATGTGTAGAGTGCAGAGAGAAGGGTTTATTTACTTCAGCACTTCTGGATTTACGCTAGTCTAAATATAGATTTTATCATCAGTGCCATTTCCTGTGACGCGATAAAATGGCAGTGGTTACCTGTCGTTGGTTTTTTAGGGCGCTTGCGCCCGTGAACCAATGTCAGGGTACCAGTCTAAAAAATCCTTCCTCCCTCTGTATATTTAGCAGTTAAACTGGGCGCATTGTTATGATGAGCTAAATTGTAAAATCCGTATCCTCGAGGTCAGGAATACCGGAGTAGAAAGGACCCTTTTGATTTTAAAGAAAATGGACACTTTCTTTGAAAATATTCTCTTCTCATAGTCATAGGTATTAAGCAGACAGACGGAGTGCAAAGTTAAGATGATGGAATTGAAACTTTTTAGAGTACTGGGGTAGGTCTTTAAAATCAATTAACAATGCATGGAATTGGTTAAATTCTTAAATTTTTTTTATATCTGAATTACATTAAAAGGTAATTAAAATTAAATTCTAAAATACTGATCAAAATGATAAATATAGAACTGTTTTCCTGCTGTGAAAGAAATATTATATATACCTTAAACAAATAATTCACGGCATTCAATATTTTTATTATTTTTGTTTTATTTTGTTCCTTAACATAACAATAAACTGATTTGTTTAAAAATCTAAGACTTTAAGATATCATTCAATATTTAAAATTACTAGAAATTTTTAACACGTGAGAGTATAATGAGCCCAATTATAATTCTTTTTATTGATACTTTAAAATAGAATGAAGGTTTTAATTCTTACCAAATTTGTCTCTTTGGGGCGTGCGAACTGAAAAGAGAATAAATAAAAATTGCGTAAATAAAATAGTAAGCGTTGATATGTATTGAGTGCTCAGCTATATAAAATTGAGTCATCCCTTAAAATCGCTGTACAATCAAAGTCCAGAAATTAATTGAAAGAAAAAAAATTAGTAAAATTTGAACATCACAATTTTCGCTATTACGGCATCAAGTGAAATTGTCACCAGATAGCAGGTGCTTATATTTTGAGGAAACCACAATGAGCATGTGTATCATTTAATCACAATTTTGCAATAAGTAGACATATTAATCTTATTTTCTTAATAAGCATTCAGTAATTGTATTGTATTGTTTATAACCAAGAAGCATACAGTTCATAGGTTTAACGTATATATATAAATCAGGTTGTACTATATAACTGTAACCATTTAGATATCATTTGTGTAAAGCAGGATCATAGAAAAAAAATCTTACAAACTTTTCATTCTAAATCTCAAAGCAGACAAAGCACAATAATATAAATTTGGTAATAGTAGTAGTGAGGATAAATTTGTTATATCAATGTCGATTAACTTCTGCTCTCAATCTTGTACACGTATAAATATAATTCCCAAGTTTACATAACTCTGTTACATTTTTTGTTGACAACAATTGAACAAGTTTAAAGGTAGAGAGTTTTTGGTGATAATATTTCTTATTATTATACTTTCATGTTAAATACTACAATGTGATTGGTTTAGTGCAGTTAACAATCCGTTCTATTACCCTCAGCCGTAGCAACACACATGGCAACGGGTAACACAACGGTAATGCCACATGCGTGGAAATTATGCGCGTACTGTTCACCGTAGAATTCTCAAAACGTCCGTTGCGCGTTTGAAAGAACCGGAATGAACTTGACGTCAATAAAAGCTTGTTTCCGAAGTAGCTTACTTGAAAACAACAAACGACAGACAAAACATGCTTGTGAGTACAGGAATAACGAACCTTTAGATGATAAAGGACTCTTAGACTATCAAATTAACAATAAAGAGGTCAGTAAATCTTTTTTGAAGTAGCGGGGAGTTTGAAAGCTTTCTAAACGTGAACGTAAGGACGATCGACGATTTTTTTTGCTGACATCCTAAATCAAGAAGACATTCAGTATAATAAAATAAATGGTGCCTGTTTTGGAGGGTAACAGTTGAAATTGGCACCCCTCGGAAAACCATTGTCAACCTCCGCTGACGCATCGGTTGACAATGGTTTTCCGAGGGGTGCCAATTTCAACTGTTACCCTCCAAAACAGGCACCATTTATATAATATACCCTTTTCTAACAACGGCATAAAATCCTGAATTCGATTGATTGATTGGATGTTATTTAACATCCCTCTCGAGAAGTTTTCACTCATATGGAGACGCCATCACTTGCTGGTGGAGAGCTACAAATTTTGTACTTTTACAATATGCTCGTCACTCAGTGCCATTGGGCATTGAGGGATCTTTTCCGTGCTAGCATCCACTGCGACACGGGACCTCGGTTTAGACACCCCGTTATTCGAAAAGTGTACAGTAAGTATGAAAGGAATAGTTTACTTGTATCACATGCTATATATTTCAATTAATTAAGACAACACAATTGCAGTAGCATACAAAAGATATAGGTAACCTGTCTCAAAATCACTCGAGACACAAGAGAGATATTGTTTTCCCAATTTTAAAATTTATGTATTTATCTCTTGCTCTTAAAACAAAGACGTATTACAGTTTAAAAACATCAACCACTAGTACACTGTAAATTAGAATATTTTTGTGGTTCCGTCTTTTGAGCACATATACCGGTATTTAGAAGAAGGATTGGGCTTTAGCTATGGCCTTCAACTATTTAGTTATATCGACGACGTATAATCAATTAACAATAGTTACTTCCATTCATATGTCGACTCGATATACATACATGTGTATGTATCACAGGGAACTTTAAGTAAAAGATACCCCAGCGTCTGACATATATCTGTTTCATATTTGGATATTTAAGAGAAAAAGATGTTAATGGTAACCGAACAACAAAATGCTATGAAAAACGTGACTTTAACTTTTCTACCGTCAGCATTTCTTACCACCATCAACGATATGTGGGGGTTAATGTCCCAATTGAAGAGAAACGCAAGAGCATGCTCTAACAAACAAATTCTAAAACAAGACAAGGTATTGACAAATTGATAAAAGACGTATATCAGTAATTTCGTTTAAAGGCATTATTCAGTAATGGTAGTGAGGAAGTATCGTCTATCAGTAAATTAAGTGCTTACTAAATTTTCATTCTCATTGTTGGGCCATTTTAGCATACATGGGATGCTAACTCCTCATTGGCACCTAATTCACTTTCTGATTAATTTAGATGCCCGTGTGTACTGTCCATTGTATTCCTTATTCATTCGACATTTATACTGTTCCTATAAAATATGTATACGTCAACGAAAATCCTGGTGTGTTATATAATCAATTAATGAAAGACTTCAATATCCATTTGTGGATTTCTTACGTATACTTTTATCAATAATATATAAATTGGTTTGGACCGATTATATCCCAATAAAATATTTTAAATCCATGCACTTATTGAAGTATTGACGAATCTAGTGCTATATACATGTATATCTCTTTCAGGTTCAAAGCCAACGCCATTTTCTTTGCTCCCTCCAGTCTTGGGTTTATCAGTCCCTTAATGGCTGCTGGCCTAACAGTCAGGGTATGCAAAGTTCATGATCAATGATCATCTATCTTTGATGTATTTTACTTTGAAGTCAATGTGTCTGCACCTCAAAAGTTGCCAACTGTAAATGATTGTAATCAGTCAATTGATTCTAAACTATCGTGTCTGTTTAATAAGGAAACTGAGGGCAGATAATCACTGGTAAATAATCCTCGTGTTTACGAAAACACCCGATCAAACGCGCAGAAAGACACATTGACTTTGTAATAAAACTCTATCCGCAGATTAATGACAAATATTTCAACTCAGCTGAACAAAGCTCCTACAAGACCACTTACTTAATTGCACTAATGATCGAGAACATGTCATTTGCATACTCGTCTCTTTTGTATAAAAATTAATTAACATTAACAATGGAGGGACGTTTGTAATATAAGTATTCACATAAAAAAAAATAAATCTTCCCTGGAGAAAAACGATAGTTGTTCATGTTATTCATTGATAGCATGTTGTGTTAAGTTCCTTCGAAATTTTTTGCATAAAATAGAGACCGTCACCATCTGACCACCCATGTACCGGTGAGGGACCTCAGATTTAGACCATTACTCGGTACTCAGGGCCACCGAGGAGCAAGGGTTCTCCATCGTGCAAACGCCCATCCCAACACGGGGTTGGGGTCTTTTTTAATGTTATTTAAACTCATACCACTTATGAAAGAATGTCTCAGAATTGCTTAACTTCTTCCTTTCCATTGTTTACGCATACAACATGAATAACTTTTTGTTTTATGTCGTAGTTGTTAAATGCAAGCACTGAGTAACAATTTTTCAGAAATTTTGAAAAATTGAAAAGGGGTTGAGTGGGAATTTATAGCCAAAAGTAACAAATCAAATATGACACGCGGGATAATATCTGAAGGTAAAATGGGAAACCAACATTTATTTATAACACAGAGTGTTATGAACTCAGATTCTGAACACTATACGTCTGAGATTGATCTACCTGGACGATTTGTGGCATCTCTTTCCATTTTCAGGTTTTCCATTTTGAAGGAAGAAGCTGCAAATAGAAAGAAATACAAGTTCTGATCAATGTCCTAATTACATTTATTGCTTGAAAATTCTCTTTTACTAAAATATAGATGAAATGTTTCAATTTTCATTAATTTAAGGATTAATACAAACAAAAGGTAATATTTGCAGATAAAGTGTGAAGTTTTTGTTTACGTAGTATGTTTGCGACCGTTTCTTGTTTATTTTATCCCAATGTACGTACAGATTATCATTAAAGAAAAAACCACAAACAAGCCAGCAAGCAAAAAAAAAAAAACCCCACAAACAAACAAACAAAAACATAAGCAAAAATATAAAATGCTCCATCAATTGCTTTAAAATATTTACTATTCGGAGGTTAACTGTTTGAATGAGATGACAGGTGGTGTATCTGCTTACCTTGACATTCACCTTTATCTCCCTTTGGTCCCCTGGGGCCGGTCACTCCCGGATATCCGTAACCTGGAATTGTGGGAGAAATAAGGTCAGTTTTATTTGTACAAGTTGTAGGGTGATAAAAGTAACATTAGTATTACATATTTAAAACTCAGCCAGTACCATGACCGATGCAATTAATTCATTAATTCAATATATCTGTGATCGAAAATTCTACGTGCTGCTCGTAAAACTATATTACTTACATCCATATCGGTGAAAATGTTACTAAAGCACGTAAATTTGTAAATAAAAATCTTCAGAGGGTTTTGTGAGCCCTTTAATGGAAATCAATGGTTAGGATACATTTTACGTGTGATGTTAATACTTTATAAATTCAGATGTTTCTTGGAATCGATATTAAAAAAATGCCAGAAACTGCTGGAATCAAATAAAGAAGGAAATCGTCACCTTGGTCGCCTTTAGGCCCGACTTCTCCTGTAAGAAAGCAATGAATTTGTTATAGAGATACCTTTCACACCTGAACAAATACACATTATTGCTTGTAATAAGAATTAAGTCGATGTTATTGATGTGGCAGTATTCGATCTGTTTGCATGCGAGGAATTTTAAAAAGAACACGGGTCTGAGATACATTGCTAGAACTAATAGACATACACGTACAGTATATTTATGCAATTATATTTGATTATTGATGTACAGAATCCCCAGCACAAACATGTATCACGTATTGTTATTATGGTGTTTTTTTGTATCCGTAACCTGGAATTGTGAGAGAAATACGCCAGTTTTATTTGTATAAATACTGTTTTGAAAAATAGCGTATTCATAAATTCAAAAAACTACAATTTCAAGGTGCCTGCACTATACTGACGGCACGCCTTTCCTTCTATACTTATGTTTCAATATCAAGAGTGAATGCATTTAAAAATTACCAATGCTGACGCTTGCAATAGGCAATTCACCCAACGAGTGTCAGAACCCTGATCCTACAGTAGAATAGATTCATGCCATATCTCAATGAAAATACTTATATGTTTTCATTAACTTAGTTCTTACACCACAACGTTGCATTTGACTAGGAAGGTATTAATATTATTTAAAATGAATAAAACCACTTGTCTACTTTTCTTGTTTAAAAGGGTTTATGTATTAAGTTTAAGACTTTACTATACATGAATTTTGAATGACATATGAGAATGAAAAGTCCTTGTTTCTAGTTAACTTTACTGGCTCAGGCAAACATTTTTTTTTTGGTTGTTGGGTCCGACAAATAGCATGTTGCCCTCGAACCGAGTCAATAAATGTATGTGTATCATACAAGCTATAATATCGTACCTTTGTCACCTTTATGCCCCGTGTATCCGATAAGACCTCTGTAGCCTTTATCTCCTTTATATCCTATTGGACCTGTACAGTAGTAAACTATGACGTGTTTAAAAAGGCCCAAAAAGTTGCAATTTAAAAAGCAGTTGAAAAGTTATTTTTAAAGGAAACCCTACAAATATTTTCGAATGTTTATTTTTAATAATAATACATGTATGATTTAATTTTAACAACAAATTTTAATCGTTACAAGGAAGAGAACATCAAAAACAATCTAATTAAATAATGAAGTTTACGTATAACGGAATCTTACCTGGAGGGCCCGTGGGCCCCACTGGCCCATATGGTCCAGGGGGTCCTCTTTCACCAGGTGCCCCCTTCTCTCCTATAAGACCTTGAATAGCGACAATATGTCATTATTTGCTTGAAACAAACTTGAAAGTAGAATTGACAAAGGAAACAAGTTAACCATACTCACTTAAATACTGTAAAATATAATAATTTTACAAAATATAATTATGGATGCCTACAGAAGTGTTTTACTACCATTTGACACAATGGCACAATACTTCCGAATCATGATTTGGGTTTATATTGACACGAGCAAAATACATATGTATTCTGAAGTTAAACCACAGCAACAAATATCGCTTGGGTATTAAACCGTAAGAAATGAGAGGGTACACCTGCTGGTCCGTCATCACCGGGAAATCCCAGAAGCCCCTGCTTCCCTTTGTCTCCCTTCGGTCCTGGTAATCCGGGTTCTCCTGGGATTCCTGTAAAATACGATGTACTCTTTCGATGTAAAATGAACTTGTTCAAAGAAATGTATGCCAATATTTATGAAAAAAGAACTTTGTATGCTGTATAATACAAATACTGCACTTAGTTGAGGGTAATGTTGAAATTTTTCATCCGAAGAAAACCAAATTGTCAACTGAAGCGGAGCGGAGGTTTATAAATTTTTTTAAAGGAGTTTTTAAAAATTATTTTTATTTTATTATTTCACGATACCCTTCATGAGAAACACCATTTTTATATCATACTAAATACACTGGATGTTCTACAAAAATACATGTAAGAGTTGACCGATCGCGAGCACGCAAAAATTCTTTTTTGACATGACCTGTCGTCAAGTAATGTTGACTGTTGCTGCATTATATCACGTGGAGAGAGTTGTTTTATCATTCACATGGTTATACTAGTGGTCATCAACAAATCATCTTCAGATTAAAATGTGTGTTTAAAATAAGGGTATATAACTTTAAAATGAGCTCCATACTTTCTATGAAATAAAGATGAGGTGAACACTTTTCGTTTTTAGCTCACCTGAGCCGAAGGCTCAAGTGAGCTTTTCTGATCACATTTTGTCCGGCGTCCTTCTGTCTGTCCGTCTGTCTGTCTGTAAACTTTTCACATTTTCGACTTCTTCTCAAGAACCGCTGGGCCAATTTCAACCAAACTTTTGTGTGCCAACTTATATTAAAATCACAAAGTATCCTTGGGTGAAGGGGATTCAAGTTTGTTCAAATGAAGGGCCAAGCCCTTATTCAAGGGGAGATAATTGGGAATTAATGAAAATTTAGTGGTATATTTTAAAAATCTTCTTCTCAAGAACCACTGTGCCAGGAAAGAAGAAACTTATGGGGAAACATGCTCAGGTAGTGTAGATTCAAGTTTGTTCAAATCATGACCCCCGGGGGTAGGGCGGGGCCAAAATGGCCGACCAAAGTTTTACATAGAAATATGTAGGAAAATTCTTTAAAAATCTTCTTCTCAAGAATGACAAAGCCATTATTCATCATATTTATATGGAAACATGCTCAGGTAGTGTAGATTCAGTTTTGTTCAAATCATGACCCCCGGGGGTAGGGCGGGGCCAAAATGGCCGACCAAAGTTTTACATAGAAATATATAGGAAAATTCTTTAAAAATCTTCTTCTCAAGAATGACAAAGCCATAATTCATCATATTTATATGGAAGCATGCTCAGGTAGTGTAGATTCAAGTTTGTTCAAATCATGACCCCCGGGGGTAGGGCGGGGCCAAAATGGCCAACCAATGTTTTACATACAAATATATAGGAAAATTCTTTAAAAATCTTCTTCTCAAGAATGACAAAGCCATTATTCATCATATTTATATGGAAACATGCTCAGGTAGTGTAGATTCAAGTTTGTTCAAATCATGACCCCCGGGGGTAGGGCGGGGCCAAAATGGCCGACCAAAGTTTTACATAGAAATCTATAGGAAAATTCTTTAAAAATCTTCTTCTCAAGAATGACAAAGCCATAATTCATCATATTTATATGGAAGCATGCTCAGGTAGTGTAGATTCAAGTTTGTTCAAATCATGACCCCCGGGGGTAGGGCGGGGCCAAATTGGCCGACCAAAGTTTTACATAGAAATATATAGGAAAATTCTTTAAAATCTTCTTCTCGAGAATGACAAAGCCATAATTCATCATATTTATATGGAAACATGCTCAGGTAGTGTAGATTCAAGTTTGTTCAAATCATGACCCCCGGGGGTAGGGCGGGGCCAAATTGGCCGACCAAATTTTTACATAGAAATATGTAGGAAAATTCTTTAAAAATCTTCTTCTCAAGAATGACAAAGCCATAATTCATTATATATATATGGAAGCATGCTCAGGTAGTGTAGATTCAAGTTTGTTCAATTCATGACCCCCGGGGGTAGGGCGGGGCCAAAATGGTTGACCAAATTTTTACATAGAAATATATAGGAAAATTCTTTAAAAATCTTCTTCTCAAGAATGACAAAGCCATTATTCATCATATTTATATGGAAGCATGTTCAGGTAGTGTAGATTCAATTTTGTTCAAATCATGACCCCCGGGGGTAGGGCGGGGCCAAAATGGCCGACCAAAGTTTTACATAGAAATATGTAGGAAAATTCTTTAAAATCTTCTTCTCAAGAATGACAAAGCCATAATTCATCATATTTATATGGAAACATGCTCAGGTAGTGTAGATTCAAGTTTGTTCAAATCATGACCCCCGGGGGTAGGGCGGGGCCAAATTGGCCGACCAAAGTTTTACATAGAAATATATAGGAAAATTCTTTAAAATCTTCTTCTCGAGAATGACAAAGCCATAATTCATCATATTTATATGGAAACATGCTCAGGTAGTGTAGATTCAAGTTTGTTCAAATCATGACCCCCGGGGGTAGGGCGGGGCCAAATTGGCCGACCAAATTTTTACATAGAAATATGTAGGAAAATTCTTTAAAAATCTTCTTCTCAAGAATGACAAAGCCATAATTCATTATATATATATATGGAAGCATGCTCAGGTAGTGTAGATTCAAGTTTGTTCAAATCATGACCCCCGGGGGTAGGGCGGGGCCAAAATGGTTGACCAAATTTTTACATAGAAATATATAGGAAAATTATTTAAAAATCTTCTTCTCAAGAATGACAAAGCCATAATTCATCATATTTATATGGAAGCATGTTCAGGTAGTGTAGATTCAATTTTGTTCAAATCATGACCCCCGGGGGTAGGGCGGGGCCAAAATGGCCGACCAAAGTTTTACATAGAAATATGTAGGAAAATTCTTTAAAATCTTCTTCTCAAGAATGACAAAGCCATAATTCATCATATTTATATGGAAACATGCTCAGGTAGTGTAGATTCAAGTTTGTTCAAATCATGACCCCCGGGGGTAGGGCGGGGCCAAATTGGCCGACCAAAGTTTTACATAGAAATATATAGGAAAATTCTTTAAAATCTTCTTCTCGAGAATGACAAAGCCATAATTCATCATATTTATATGGAAACATGCTCAGGTAGTGTAGATTCAAGTTTGTTCAATTCATGACCCCCGGGGGTAGGGCGGGGCCAAAATGGCCGACCAAATTTTTACATAGAAATATGTAGGAAAATTCTTTAAAAATCTTCTTCTCAAGAATGACAAAGCCTTAATTCATTATATATATATATGGAAGCATGCTCAGGTAGTGTAGATTCAAGTTTGTTCAAATCATGACCCCCGGGGGTAGGGCGGGGCCAAAATGGCCGACCAATGTTTTACATAGAAATATATAGGAAAATTCTTTAAAAATCTTCTTCTCAAGAATGACAAAGCCATTATTCATCATATTTATATGGAAGCATGTTCAGGTAGTGTAGATTCAATTTTGTTCAAATCATGACCCCCGGGGGTAGGGCGGGGCCAAAATGGCCGACCAAAGTTTTACATAGAAATATGTAGGAAAATTCTTTAAAATCTTCTTCTCAAGAATGACAAAGCCATAATTCATCATATTTTATATGGAAACATGCTCAGGTAGTGTAGATTCAAGTTTGTTCAAATCATGACCCCCGGGAGTAGGGCGGGGCCAAATTGGCCGACCAAATTTTTACATAGAAATATGTAGGAAAATTCTTTAAAAATCTTCTTCTCAAGAATGACAAAGCCATAATTCATTATATATATATGGAAGCATGCTCAGGTAGTGTAGATTCAAGTTTGTTCAAATCATGACCCCCGGGGGTAGGGCGGGGCCAAAATGGCCACCCAATTTTTACATAGAAATATATAGGAAAATTCTTTAAAAATCTTCTTCTCAATCATTTTCTAAAAAATAGCAAATCCATGATTGGTCATGGGACTATTTTTGGATTTAAACTTTACAATAAAAAGCCATTTTGTACTAGTCCTACCCTTGGTGCTCAGGTGAGCGATGTGGCCCATGGGCCTCTTGTTTTTTTTTAATTTGATGTTGAGCAAAAATTTTCCCAAATAGTAACTTTTTACTTTTATTGAAGTAGGTTGGGGGTAAACATACGTTTTGTCGGACGGACTTAAAGAAACTGGTTCATCAAGATAAATCTGTTAAATAAAAATATTTGTTTTGTTTGTTGCTTTATCTCCCTCGAAAATTTTCACTTTCTTTTTCTTTTCTTGTCCGATTCTATTTCGAAATTGTTCGTATGTATAGAGCATACTTGCGCACCGAATCAACACCATGTGCAGGTTATAAGTGTATATTGCCACTCAATAAGATAAGTTAATGATAGAAAATTTGGAGTTATCATATTTATCATCAAGAACAAAATGTTCTTGAAGGGACCTTTAAATAAAAAAATACCTTTTTGCACTGGCTTTCATAACGTCAATTTCCTTTGCAAACATTTTTACGGACGGCCTACTTAAACATTACAAATGTTCGCCTTTTTTTCGTATTATAAACTTACATTACATATATATGAAACAATTATTCAAAGGTGAACAATTCCAAAGAAAAAGCCTTTCTGTCTTTAACAATCTCATTTTTTTTTCTTTATTACATGTTACAATATACTTAAAACAAAAGACCGTGCCACTTGAAAATTTATCAAAGATGTGATATAAGAAGCATCTTGTAATGAAGCTAACCTGGTTCACCAGGAAACCCCCTTTCGCCGGGTGAGCCTCGTAAACCCGGAAGTCCTACTTCTCCTCTGCGTCCCCTGGGCCCAATCGGTCCAATGGCCCCAGTATCACCTGCATAATATAGATGTTAAACAGATCATTAAGAAATATCAAGTGAATTGATCGATAGACTTTCATACACGGTAGTGTGACAAACACAAAATGTCAAATTGTTTTCGTCTAACAGCCTTCTATTTTGCATGAGCCAAAGAACACGTGATTCAAGGTTTATTTCTAATTTGTTTAATTTTGTTTAATAATAAATGTCACGGAATTAATTCTTAATTTCCTTTTATTTGTTGTGGGTCTCGAGCGACGAATTGAAAAAAAGGAGTGACTTTGATGTCTTAACTCTGTGTCGACAACAATGTATAATCCTTATTTCATTTTATCATAACCATTATTTTTTGATTTTTATTTTTGTTAACCATCCAATTTATAGCTTTACTATCTGTTTGTAATATATGTGGAGATGACGAACAGTATTCAAGCTCAAAAGACCATAAAACTAAACAAAATAGGAGCAGAGCAAACACGGACCTCCAAAACATGAGGTGGAATCTGATGCCATGGAGGAGTGAGCGTCCCCTGCCGACTGCTCACACCTTCCATGTGCTCCTTGTCATGATCGGGAAATAACGAAAAAATCCGTCGTCAATTCATAATAATTAATGGACTAACAATTAGTATGAAAAACGTCAGTCATCATTTGACTCATTGATAAACTGCATATGCTGACATTGTATGATCTATCGAATATAGAACTTACGAAATAATGACCGCTCACATTCTTGTTTCATCAACTTGTTAGTCAATAATTTACCTCGGTTTAGAAATTGTACATAGTTACATAGAGCTTATCGAATCAACTGATAGAAATAGGTGATGGAGGTATTATTTTTTCTTTTGTTTTTCTTCAGGAAGACATTCAAAATATTTTGTATTAATATCATATATATAATTTGTGGTTTCAATCAAAATGATTTACTATTATTCATTTTCGTATCCAAACATTAAAAAATGTTCTCAAGTATTGTCTATTCCTTTTAAAAACATGATCTGACACAAGCGACAAATGTAACATAAGCTCCCAATGAATCTGGTGTGTATATATTGTGTATGCAAACAAAACAATACACTTCATGACCGGAGTCTAAATTTAGAATTATTGACGTCATCAGTTAATGATGTATTGATCTTTACGAGATAATTCCGATTTTTAAGTCCATAGCTCAAACAAAATTTTACTTTTAAGTTGAAACCTATTGCATTTGATCACGGGAGGGAATACCTTTAGATCCTTTTTGCCCTGTACTTCCGGTTACCCCTGGAACGCCGGTATAACCCCTGTCACCTTTCTGTCCTTTCAATAAGAACGAATCTGAAGATTTAAATGAAACTTCTATATATGATCATTTTAAATAATCATAGACATTCTACCATAAGAATAAAAGAAATAAACCTCAAAATTAAAAAAAAAAAACAAACTAGTGTGGCCGAGTCGACCTGGATTTCCATTGCTCAACAATTTGAAACGAATTTTCCAAATTTAAGCAATTTTTATTCACATTTTTAATAAAAATGAAGAAATCACAGGTTAAAAACTCTCAGTAAAATTTTATATAACTGATTATTTAAACGATTTTTCAACCGTTAGTTAGACAATTTAACATATGGTATAAAATTTTAAAGTTTCTCTGTTGCAGTTTTCAGTCGGCTCTCTTAGGAAGCCTTATATAACGACTCCAAAGTAATTCACACATGATCTCTTCAGAAAGGGAAGATGAGATACCTATTACTAATTAGGCTTTCAGTTTATATAATTGCTTTAAAATATTTTTCCATAACGAACAAACAGTCCTTAGACAGTGTTTCAGTATACATGCATCACTTCACAGTCAATTCCAGTATATGAAATATTGATTTATTCATCAAAGACACAAAAAATTTGGTTTAAAGAAAAGCAGGAACTCTTATGGATTTATAGAAGCATGATTTTATGGACAGCATAGTTGTATAAACATTTTTATCAGCTGGTCCAAATGAGCGAATTGATAAAACTCGCTCGATAAATAAAACAGCCGCCACAAACTAAACGTGTTACGAAAGACAGGCACATGTATATTTGTAGTTTCTAAAAATTAGTACTTTCTTCCCTTTAGTACAGATGAAAACAACAAAAAAAATTTACTACAAATAGGTCGCAATGGTCCGTGCAAAAACGTCATTTAGTTCACAGAAGCGATGGAAAATTGGATTTGCTGCGACACTTACGAAAATAGCGCACAGTTCACGGACAGGTAATTAATTAGAAGGGATAGATATTAGAAACAAACCGAAATAACACGCAACATATATAATTCTGAAAAAGATTGTGAAAAAAAGACTAGACTTTATCTTTAAATTTAGAAGAAAATATTCATGTTTACGTATATTCGTATATTCCACGAAAACAATTAAAACGACGACAAACGATTTTCATTATACACTAACTTCATCGGTTCTAAAGAAGCTGTCAAAAAGTTGTCCCGAAGTAGGACCCCCCCCCCACCTTTGATACAAAAGTTTCATTACCTAAATCTACTCAATTTATGGAATTTTTGATCAAGGACTTTTAAAAATTGATATAATCAGGAAACGATTGTAAATGATTCTGGGAGTACTTGGTTATCAACATAGCTGTCTCTCTCACCTTGTATTGTGTCTTTACAGTCACGAATGAACACAGCACAGCTTGATGGCACCTGGAAAAAATACATTTTACATGATTCCAGACTGATTGATTACATAGATGAAAGTAGATGATTACAATTCTCAAAGAGAATTTCTTTGATAAAAACAAATTTAACTTTAGAGTTTTATTCATATATATCAATAAAACTTTAGGAAATTAATCATTTATTCTTTTGGTTATCATAAACAAGAGGCCCACGGGCCTTATAGGTCACCTGAGCATCATGCAACAACTTTCAAATGATTGAATTTGGTTCATGTTCCAAGCTAGATGCTACGACATTCACAATTCTAAAAGAGGCTTCATTACTAACACTTAGCAATTGTTTAGTTTGTTTACTTAATATCCATAAGCAGGGCAGGGGAACAAAATATGCATTTCAACTAATCAGTAATATTCAGCAATAATCATAAGTGCCCCTAACACATATGAACCCCTGGCCCTAGGTATACACACTGCATAATTTTTGAAAAGGCACACTTGCTTATCAATAATGTTTGATTAATAATAAGGAGCAGATTTCAAACAATTCATTTTCAATATATAAGTAGAGTCCCTCCACCCCTCTTCGGTATCCCTGACCCAGGGGCCTTGAAATTTACAGTTCTGGAAGAAGAGCCCTTGCACATCATAACTATATAGGTAGTACATCTGTTTATTACCCAGGAGTAGAGAAAAAGATTTTCATAGATGAAATATATTTTCACTATATAATCATTATAGAGCCGCACCCTAACACCATAATCTCTGACCACGGGGCCATAAAATTTACAATTTTGGTAGAAGCATTCTTGCTCATCATAACTATGTACTTAGTTAGTTTATTTAATACCTAGGAGCAGATAAGAAGATTTTCAAAGAAATAATGTATTTTCACTATATCATCAATACAGCCCCACCTAAACTCCTGACCCTGGGGCCATAAAATACAAAATTTTGGAAGAGGCACTCTTGCTCATGATAACTTTTTACTTAGTTGGTTTATTTAATACAGAAAAAGCAGAGAAGAAGATTTTCAAAGAATAAATGCATTTTCACTATATAATCAATAGAGCCATGCCCTAACACCATAATCCCTGACCACGGGGCCATAAAATTCACAATTTTGGTAGAGGCACTCTTGCTCATCATAACTATATACTTAGTTTATTTAATACTCAGGAACAGAGAAGGTTTTCAAAGAAATAATGCATTTTCACTATATAATCAATAGAGCCCCAAACTAATACCAGAACCTCTGACCCTGGGGCCATGAATTTCACAATTTTGGTAGAGGTACTCTTGCTAATCATAACTATGTACTTAATTAGTTTATTTAATACTCAGGAACAGAGAAGAAGATTTTCAAAGAAATAATGCATTTTCACTATATAATCAATAGAGCCCCACCCTAACACCAGAACCCCTGACCCTGGGGCCATGAATTTCACAATTCTGGTAGAGGACTCAATGCTGATTACAATCATACCAACAGTTTGACTGCTTGATGTCCAGGAGTAAAGAAGATTTGTAAAGATTGCACTAATTTTAGTGGTTTTGGCCCCACCCCTAGGCCACAGGGGGGCAGGGACAATGAAATTCACAATTTTTGTTCCTCTTCACCCACAGATGCTATTGGTCAAAATTGGTTGAAATTAGTTCAGTGGTTTTAGAGAAGAAGCTGAAAATGTTTAAATGTTAACGAACGACGCACGTCGCACGACGAACGACGACGGACAAAAACAGATAGCAATAGGTCACCTGAGTAACTCAGGTGACCTAAAAAGTTTTCCGTTTTAAACCTTTTATATGAGGAAAAAGTAAATAAAACCAATTCTCCGAGGGAATGTTAATTCTTTTTTTCATATGTGATGTACAGTTGCCTAAAAATACATCTCAATCCATATTTCACCCACAAATAAGGAAGATTTCAGTATGGATGTACGTGTGTGGGGGCTACAGCTAAATGCCTTTAGTTAATCATTCACTTTTAACGGTATACGCGACATAGACTTATGATGTCGCCGTTCCTGTGATGTGATAAATGTTTACATAGGCTATATCAGATCTCTCAAATGGTTCACCAAGACAAGATAATGAAATTATCAATGTGAAGTGAGGGGTTTTAGAAGCAGGGGATGGCCTTGGGCATTGATTTGTTGTAACATGTCACAATCATCTAATACCAGGCTTATAATTACCTACTAATTCTGACACGAGAAGTATTCAAAAATCCTTCTCAAAGGTAGGACGTCCATCTCTTTTGTTCAGAGGACCCTGCTCCTTAGGACACAGCAGCTGTTTAGAAGTCTGGTTTTGGTTATGAAAAGGATGAAAATAACGAATTCTTTTTTAACAATATAAACAAGCAAATTCAAAGAATTGTGGTCCCCCGCTTTCGGTTTTGGTTATGAAAAGGATGAAAATACGAATTCTTTTTTAACAATATAAATAAGTGAAGAGGACATAAAGAACCCCTTGAAACTCCACAAGTGGGATCAGGTGCCTTAGAGAAGTGGTCAGGCCTTAGCATTCAAAAGTTATGGTCAAAATGTCATAAGTACCGAAATCTCCAAGGTCAAGGTCAGGTTAAAGTTGTTGGTATCCTTGCTGAATATATATGTGAAATATTAAAGTCCTGTACCTACCAGGTTATGGCCAAAGCAAAAGTATGGAGTAAAAGTGGAACTTGTCACAAGGAATACACATATGAATGGGCAAGGTAAAGTTTTTGTGAAAAATAAAAAAATAAAGAACCATTAAGTGCCTTAAGAAAAGCCCCGAGCCCTGTGTAATGAACAGGTAAAAGTCTACCATTAAGAACTTTTTTTGAATGGCCCTCGTAAATGAAATTCTAGAAACAAGTTTACGTATAAAATCGTACCTTTTCCGACCCGAATCGACCGGAGTGTGAACATTAAAATTCCAAACCCCTATTAAAACAATAGTCATCTAAGGGTCATATAGATTACATAAAATTTATGGAGACTATCAGATCGCAAAAAAAAATCTCTAGCGAGGCAGCTTAATTAAAGTTAAAGAAAAGTATTAGTTTGAAAGGCAATATGTGATCCATCCTCCCATTTTCTCTAAATTGGGATGGTGAAAAAAAAATACAAAGACTACAGTAACAACAACCCTCCCTATTTTTTAGCTCTACTGGTCAGAGACCAGAAGAGCTTATGCGATAGTCTTTTCAAAACGCTACTCCTCCTACAATTTTGGTCTGATTTCAATATAACTTGGCACACAAGTAGAAAACACTAAGATACATAGAATAGTGCATGGGTTTTTGATTTCGATGAACGGTGTTGCCATGGTTACTAAAAATAGAATTTTCTGTGAAATTCCTTTAAAACGCTAACAGTTTTGGTCTGATTTCAATATACTTTGGCACACAAGTAGACTACACTAAGATACATAGAATAGTGCATCGGTTTTTGATTTCGATGAACGGTGTTGCCATGGTTAAAAAATAGAATTTTCTGTGAAATTCCTTTAAAACGCACTCCTTCCACAGTTTTGGTTGATTTCAATATAACTTGGCACACTAGTAGACTACACTTAGATACATAGAATAGTGCATCGGTTTTTGATTTCGATGAACGGTGTTGCCATGGTTAAAAAATAGAATTTTCTGTGAAATTCCTTTAAAACGCTACTCCTTCTACAGTTTTGGTCTGATTTCAATATAACTTGGCACACAAGTAGACTACACTAAGATACATAGAATAGTTAAAAATTCCTTAAAAACGGTACAGTTCTAGTTTGATTTCAAAATAAGTTGGCACACAAGTAGACTACACAAAGATACATGGAATAGTGCATCGGTTTTTAATTTCGATGAACAATGTTGCCATGGTTACTTATTTTTCTGTGAAATTCCTTATACTTCTTCTACAGTTTTGGTCTGATTTCAATATAACTTGGCACACAAGTAGACTACACTAAGATACATAGAATAGTGCATCGGTTTTTGATTTTGATGAACGGTGTTGCCAACTAAAAATAGAATTTTCTGTGAAATTCTTTAAAAACGCTACTCCTTCTACAGTTTTGGTCTGATTTCAGTATAACTTGGCACACAAGAAAACCTCCCCAAAGATACATAGAATAGTGCATCGGTTTCTGATTTTGATGAACGGTGTTACCATGGTTACTAAAAATAGAATTTTCTGTGAAATTCCTTAAAAACGCTACTCCTTCTACAGTTCTAGTTTGATTTCAAAATATGTTGGCACACAAGTAGACTACCTAATGGTTTTTGATAAGTACAAACCAGTAGAGCTACAGTCTCGACAGAGACTTCTGTTTTTTATCTTGTGTTTTGTCAGCAACAAAATTTACTTTGTCATAATCACTCTGATATTGCACACAAGTACACTGAAGGTAATGTTAAAAGGATGCTGTACGTTCTCATTCACAAATTTTATTAACAAAATTATTGGAATTTCGATAGGCACCTATTGTGCTCCTTTATTAGCCGACCTGTTTTTATATTCTTTTGAAGCAGAATTTATTTTTTTTTAATTCTGCATGAGAAGGAAACACTTGGCGTGGCCTTTAGCTCCACATTTAGATATATCGACTCGTATGTTGAACTTGTAACAATTATAGTTACACTGTACTTTCACTCACATGTCGATTCCATGGACTAAGAAGACATAAAATAAAATAAACCACAGAGTCTGCACATCCGTTTCATATTTACTGACTATAGACAATAAGGGCCAAAAAAGGAAATTTTTTCTTAAACTCGAAAATCTTCTTTCGTGGGGATGGGGGTTCCATATTCTTTCAATACCATTTTTTAACTCTCTAGTGATTATATTTCCTGTACACTGTCTGCTATGTGTAAGGACCTTTTTAACTGACCTAGATTTTTTACATTATTGATACATTAATGTTCTCTCTTAAATTAACAAAAGTAATGTAGCAGTGAGTATTCTGTGTTTCATTACAAGATGCTTTAAATGATGAAAGAGAATAAATGTAAGATCACACAATAAAAACTACTGATACAGGACGTAA